TTATATGAAAAGGCAAAAACCCAGAATAGCCTACATAATATTGAAGGAAGAAAACAAAGTTGGAGGACTGACACTACCTGACTTCAAGATTTACTATAAAGTTACAGAAATACAGTAATGTAGTAAGAGAGTGTGACCTTGGATATGGTAATGACATTTTTTTAATTCACTGGTTCCTTCTTTGACGCACTTATTTTCCTCATGTAGATCCACATGTCTGATCTATATTATTTTCCTTCTCGCTAAAGAATTTTTAAAACATTTCTTGCAAGGCAGATCTACTGGTAACAAATTCCCTCAATGTCTGTTTGTCTAAGAAAGTCTTTATTCCTCCTTCAGTTTTGAAGGATAATTTCACAGGGTACAGAATTCTAGGTTGGTGAGTTTTTTCTTGCAACACTAAATATTTCACTCCATTCTCATTTGCATGATTTGAGAATTCAGCTGTAATTTTTATCCTTGTTTTCCTATAGTGAGGTGTTTTTTCTTGTAGCTTCTTTCAGAAATTTTTCTTTATCTTTGATTTTCTATAATTTGAAAATAGTAAGCCTAGATGTAGTTTTGTTTGGTATTTATTCTGCTTGGTGTTCTCTGAGTTTCTTAGGTCTGTGGTTTGATATCTGACATTAATTTGGGGGGGAAATTCTCAGTCATTGTTTCAAATATTTCTTTGGTTCTTCTCTCTCTTTATTCTCCTTCCAGTATTTCCATTGCACATATGCTACACCTTTTGTAGTTGTCCCACAGTCCCTGGATATTTTGTTCTGTTTTGCTCAGTCTGTCTTCTCTTTGCTTTCCAGTTTTGGAGGTTTCTATTGAGATATCCTCAAGCTCAGAGGTTCTTTCCTCAGCTGTGTCCCGTCTACTAAGAAGCCCATCAAAGGCATTCTTCATGTCTGTTACAGTGTTTTTGATCTCTATTTCTTTTGGGTTCTTTCTTAGGATTTCCATCTCTCTGCTTACATTGCTCATCTGTTCTTCAATGCCGTCTACTTTATCCATTAGAATCCTTAGCATATTAATCATAGTTCTTTTAAATTCCTGGTCTGATAATTCCAACATCCCTGCCACGTCTGATTCTGATGCTTGCTCTGTCTCTTCAAATTACCTTTTTTTGCCTTTTGGTATGCCTTGTAATCTTTTCTCAAGAGCCAGACAGATGTACAGATAGAAGGAAGTGCTGTAAACAGGCCTTTAGCAAAATGTGGTGCTAAGGTGTGGGGAGAGTGGGAGTGTTTCACAGTCCTGTGATTAGGTCTCAGCCCTTTAGTGAGCCTACGCCTCTGGACTGTGAACTTAAGAAGTGTTTCATAGCTTTTTCCTTCCTCCCTTAGGTGGGACAGATAGCTAAGGGGCTGGAGTTGGCCATTTCTTTTCTCCCAGGTCAGTTAGGCTCTGATAATACCCCAGCAGGTTAGGCTCTGGTTAACTAGTTACTCCTGAGGGCAGACCTTGTTAAGAAGAACAGAGTGCTCTGCTTATTCCAAAATGGTTCCTTTCTTCCTCTGTCGGAAGCACGAGAGGATTTTTCTCTGATAGTTGCTGTGAGAACCTGGTCGAGCTCCTGGAGGCAAATCTCACTAAATTGTGGGGACTGATCTATCACTGGGTTCCCTGGAATCTTTAACTCTCAGACTTGTCCACACTGAGCCTCTGGCAATTCGTCAATTACAGTGCAGGTTTTCCTATCCAGCACGGGTTCCCACACTGGTTTCTGCTTGGAAGTCTTTGCTCCAGTAAGCTGTGACTCTCTGTTATTCACTTGTCTGTCTCTCCTATCTTGCATGAAGCGATCTGCCCTGTGCCCTCCCCTCTCTAATAAATCCAGGAAGAGTTGCTGGTTTTCTAATCTGTTCTGCTTATTACTGGTTGTTAGGATGGAGTGGCAACTTCTCAGGTCCTTACATGCAGAACAGGAAACTGGAAGTCTGGCAGAGACTTTTCAGATACACCACCAAAAGCATGGTCCATGAAAGAAATAATTGATAAGCTGGACTTCATTAAAATTTAACACTTCTGCTCTATGAAAGATAGTCAAGAAAATGAGAAGCCTTAGACTGGAAGAAAACATTTGCAAAAGACATATCTAATAAACGACTGCTATCCAAATTATACAAACAACTCAGTGGGCCAAAGACCTTAACAGACACCTCACCAAAGAAGATCTATAGATGGCAGATTAAGTATGTGAAAAGATGCTCCACATCACGTCATTAGAGAAATGTAAATTAAACCATGAGATACCACTACATATCTATTAGAATGGCCAAAATCTTGAAATTGACAACATCAAATGCTGACGAAGATGTGGAGCATGGAATTCTCATTCATTGCTGGTGGGAATGCAAAATGGTACGGCCACTTTGGAAGATAGTTTGGCAGTTTCTTACAAAACTAAACAAACTCTTCCCATATGATCCAGCAATCACACTCCTTAGTATCTACCCAAAGAGCTGGAAACTTATGTGCACACAAAAACATGCACACAGATATTTACAGAAGCTTTGCTCATAATTGCCAAAATTTGGAAGCAACCAACATGTCCTTCAGTAGTGAATAGACAAAGGTGGTACATCCAGACAATGGAATATTATTCAGCATCAAAAAGAAATGAGCTATCAAGCCATGAAAAGGCATGGAGGAAACTTAAATGCATATTACTAAGTAAAAGAAGCCAATCTGGGGCTGGCCCAGTGGCCTGGTGGTTAAGACCGTGCGTTCTGCTTTGGCAGCCCAGGGTTTGCAGGTTCAGATCCCTGGCTTGGCCCAACACACTGCTCATCAAGCCATTCTGTGGCAGCATCCCACATACAAAATAGAGGAAGACTGGCACAGATGTTAGCTCAGTGGCAATCTTCCTCAAGCAAAAGGAGGAAGATTGGCTACAGATGTTAGCTCAGGGCCAATCTTGCTCACCAAAAAAAAAAAAGACACACAACAACAAACAGCCAATCTGAAAAGGCTACATACTGTATGATTCCAACTACATGACATTCTGGAAAAGGTAAAACTATAGAAACAGTAAAAAGATCAGAGGTTACATAGGGTTGGGGGGGGAGGAAGGGATAAATAGGTAGGGCACAGAGAATTTTTAGGGCAGTAGAAATACTCTATGTTACTCTAATGATGGATATGTGTCATTATATATTTATCAAAACTCAAGAGTGAACCCATTTTTTCTGTTTTGGTGACTTTGCTTGCTGGTACACTAAGCACAGTAAGCACACAGGCGCACAGGGAAATTGGAGAGAGAAAAGTGTAATATTTTGTATTTTATCGAAAGCATCAATACAATCATCACAGGAAAAAAATTAGGACTATGTTGGGCACAACTCACATATAAAATAGAGGAAGACAGGCACGGATATAGCTCAGGGACCATCTTCCTCAAGCAAAAAGCGGATGATTAGCAACAGATGTTAGCTCAGGGCTACTCTTCCTCAGCAAAAAAAAAGTTAAACATCCACCTATTATATGACTCAGTCATTCCACTAGTAGGTATTTACCTAAGAAAAATGAAAATTCATGTCCATACAAAGATTTGCACAAGAACGTTCATGGCGGTTGTATTTGTAACAGCGAAATACTCATCAACAAGTGGAATGGATACACAGATTGGGGGAAATTCGCACAATGGAATGCTGTTCTGCAAGATGACAATGAAATACTCAGCCACGCAACAACGTGGATGAGTCTTAAAATAATTATGCTTAGATAAAGAAGCCAGAACCCCTCCTCCCAAAAAGAGTACACACTATGATTCCATTCCTATAGAATTACACAAAATAGAAGCTAATTTACAGTGACAGAAAGCAGGTCAGCAGCTGTCTGTGGGTTGGGGGAGGGACGACAGTAAGAATTACAAGAGACAAGAGGAAAGCTTTTGGGAATAATGATTATGTTCATTATTTTCATTGAGGTGATGGTTTCACAGGTGTATACAGATGTCAAAGCTTACTGAATCACACACTTCAAATATATGCTATTTATGATACTGTGAATTATACCTCAACAAACCTGTTTTTAAAAAGTAGAATTAGAAAGAATAAAATATCTTTTTTTTTTTTTAGGAAGATTAGCCCTGAGCTAACATCTGCAGCCAATCCTCCTCTTTTTGCTGAGGAAGACTGGCCCTGAGCTAACATCCATGCCCATCTTCCTCTACTGTATATGTGGGATGCCTCCCACAGCATGGCTTGACAAGCAGTGCCATGTCCGCACCCAGGATCCAAAATGGCGAACCCCAGGCCACGGAAAAGCGGAATGTGCAAACTTAACCATTGTGCCACTGGGCTGGCCCAGAAAGAATAAAATATCTTAATACTAACATGAAAAAATGACCATGACACATATTTAAAAGAAAAAAAAAGCTGTGCAATTACACAGCATGATCCTATTTATGCAAAATATGTGCGCTTATACTGAATAAATGTATGTATATGTATAGAAAAAAAGCCTGAGGAAATACATACTGATTTGTTTACAGTTTGAGATTAGAGAAGTAATCTGGGGAGCTTTTCATTATACATATCCCTACATTGTCTGACCTTTGTATAACAATCACGCATTGCTTCTGAAATTGAAAAAACTGAAGAAGGTAAAAAAATAATGAGCAGATTTAAAAGCCACTGGGCAAGATGAACTTGGACATAAAATCCAAACTGACTTCTTTTATATGAGAAAAAGACAGAGTCCTGTATTTGGAGAATAATTCCCAATTGTGGAGAAAAGGAAGGAGCACATGTCCAGATTCCCCGGGGCTTATCAGATACAGAGCTGCGCATGCTCTCTCTCTCCCAGGAGAGAATCACTACCTCCACGAGCTACCTCAACGGGTGACATCATTTGTCTATTCCTCAGGTATCCTGAAGCACAAAACTGCCAAGGGCTTTAAAAGACCAACTGTTCTCCATCTGATTTTCAATGTGCATAAGGAGCATACAAGGCTGTAGTAAAAACATGACAAGGTTTCGGAGCCCACACTCCTTGGTATGCAGTACCTTGGATGATTTTCTGCTGCTGCTGCCGGATTTCATCAAAACCCAGGCCTCTGGTCTCCTCTGGCTCCTCGAAGAGCCAAGGGTTGGGTACTCCTCGCTTAGCCCCTCCAGTCATCAGGCTGGACCTAAGAAAAAGATTAAATGCGATACATAACTCAAAAAACATAGCTCCACTGAAAATTACTCCCACAAGTACAGAGGTGGCCAGCCTTGCGTGCTTGGAAATTCAATTCAACCACAATTTATTGCATCCTTAGTTTACGCCAGCAATTGTGTTCAGCGCTGGAAGAGATACAAGGACGAATAAGGCAGAAGCCTAGTCCCCCAGAGAATTACAGCCTGTTAAGGAGACTATCGCAGTATGTAATACTCTTGCTAATCCTCCAAGACAACATTTGAGTCAATAATCATAAATGAGGGTCTTATATTTCAAAAACTCAAGGCCAAATGGAAGCAGTCTTTTCATTAGAACAAGTTTGTCTCATAGGCTATGTGACACCTAAGGCACAAATATTATTTCTCAGGAAGATAGCAATGTTGCAACTATAGATTATAGCATTAAAAAATGAGCATAAAATTTCTTATTAAAGTATATTTGGTTGCTCACAGATACAAACACACACAGGTTTTCAAATCCAATTTTATGAATATAATGTAGCATTCGGAACATAAACAGTCAATCTCAACTATCAATCCTAACCTTTACTCCCTCTAGCAACCAATACGGCCCTTCTGGAAGCACCAGATATATTGATCTCCTTGCTGTCTGAAGAATAGGGAACACACGTTTTTGGCTTCAGTTCCCATGTTTGTAGAATTCCTCCCATCTTGAGCATCTCTTCTCTTGTCCCCGCCTGCTCACATTCTGTCCAACCTGCAAGGACCATCTTGTTCATGAGACCAGCTCTGACCACTTCAATCCGGACACGAACACTCACTCACTTTAGAGTATGGTTCATAGGACTCATAAAAATGATTATAACAATGATGGTGACATAACAGCAGTAGCAGTAACAATAACAGCTAACATGTATTAAGCATTCACTATGTACAGGCACAGCTCCAAGTGATTTATACGGATTCACTCACATCTCCATTATTTGTCATTCTCCTGGCCCTTTTCACATCTCTCGTATTGTCTAGAAATAACTGCTACCCTATTGCTCAACCTTTTACATAGGTAAGCCTCATGCCTACTAAATGGAAGGCAGGAACGGAAAATGCCCCTTGACTAGACTGCACACTGCTCCCCAACACGGAGTGAACGGCTGTCAGTGTGAGCTCCAACCCTGGCTCCACTGCCTACCAGCAATATAGGAACAGCAACATCTGCCTCAAAGGCTGCTGGGGAGTACATAAAATAATTCATTTATTTAAAAACCATTACCTTAGTACTTACATGTGGTAGGCACTGTTCTCATCAATGGGGATGAGGAAGAAATAGAATGTAGACAAAATAGACCAAAATCTCTCCCCCTACAAAGTATAAATTCTTGTTATGGGTGTTGCTCTTATTCTGGTTGAGGGCAACAATGTGCAAAATGTGTGCAAAATGCTTAATGCAGTGCTTGGAAGATAATAACCTTTCAATAAATGTTAATTATTGTCATTTTACCAATTACTGCGGGAAGCACTGAAATATTATTGAAAAATAAGTATACTCCAAAGGCAATATTAACTTCTTTTTTAGTTTAGCACTATAAAACCTAGACAAGAATATGATATGTGTCAAGAAACAAACCCATGCAAAACTGGAAGAAAATTTTTCCTTTGACTAAGATTTTAAACCACAGAGCTGGTCTCCCTGCTTGAGTGCACTAACGTGCCAAACAGAAGGAAGACTTTCTTCCACTTTATCAAAAAAGGCAAATGTGCTTCTTTAAAGCCTTACTTGGTTGGCCTCAAGTATCTAAAATGTCAAGATTTTGGATTGATTCTCTATAATAATCTTTCAATTTCACTTAGCTTTGGAGACAGGGAAAGAAAGCAATGGAAAGAGGAAAGAAAGAAGGAAGTTTACAATCAAAGTAAACCCCTTAACTCTTATACTGTCTTGCAAGGGCCAGCTCTTGATCAAAACAGGAGTCATGGGATGTTGCACATGGTCCACTGCAAAAGCAAGTGCTAACAACCAGTACAACGGGTCAGAGGCATATAAAGTAACCTTGAAAGTGCATCTATCACCAGCTATGAGCATCCATTCCAATTAGTATATTGCACGTGAGTTGACACTAGACATTGTTCCTCTAAAGGTAATATTGGAATGCCCTCCTGGTAGCTTCTGCCACACCTACAGCATATATTTTTTTATTATTAAAGGGGGAAAAAACATATGTAGGAAAATTATTTTAGAAATCTCAAAAAACGGCAAATTATAACTATAGCCTTTAATTATAAATATATTTTTAATAGATGTATATTTTTTAAACACTAGAGAATAAAAGTATAACACGGGCACAATTTAATATGAATATCAATCAACCACCAGACATACAGGAAAGATTTCCCAGGGCTGAATTCAGACTCATAGAAATTCTAAGCACTGAAAAAATTATTTTGATCTCATTCTCACAGAGTTCAATATGAAAGCAATAGTAAACTGCAATGCAGTTTGCCAAAGTAAAATTTATTCCCTAATGCCTTCTTTCTGGATTATCTGACTCCAAATTTTCTGTTCAGTTCTTCAAGGCTGAACTCACCATCACAGGTGTCACTGTATGCAGAAGACCTAGTTTTCTTTTATTTAGGTTTTATGCTCAACTGAATGTCTGGATGCCTATTAGTACTCAGTACTCTCTTAGGTAAAAAGGAAAACATGAACGAATTTAAGACATAATTCTTGCTTGCAAGGAGTTTACAATCAAACTAAAAAGACTGATGGAGCAATTACTAACTGAAGTAAGAGAACACCTAGCTTTATATCCCTGGGCAATTCCAATAACCTCTTCAGCCCTGGTTTTTTCACCCATAAAATAAGGGAAGTCAGTCAGTCAATAGCTTTCAGCCTTCATTCTGATCCAACACTTGAGGAATACACACCCTCCTCAATAGCGGGGCGGGAGGTGAGTGGGGAGGCTCACCTCGGTTGGGGCAGCCAGGTATTCTTTTTATTCCTGCAGAAGAGGATTTCCATCTTTGAAAATCACGGACTTAGATGATTTTTGAGATCCTTAATGCTTTAATTAAAATTTTTCTCATTAGGTACCAAATTGCATAAGTAAGAACAGAGAAGAAAGAACAATTTCCCCACAAAACCCATTTTCCCCTCCCTCAGTCTTTCTAATTTCAGTTCAAGACCATCACTGACCCAGTGGCTCAGGCCCAAAACCTTGGAATCATCTTTGACTCTTTCTTTCATAGCCCACCTCACCTAGTCCATTAACAAATCCCTCAAAACATATCTAAAACCCGACATTTCTCCTCTACTCTCTTGCTTCCACCCTACTCTTCCTGTCTCCTGCTTCTACTCCTACCCTCTACGTTCTACTCCCCACACAACTGCCACAGTGATCACTGTAAAAACAAATCCGCTTCCTCTGCTCAAAACCCTCCCACATCTTCCCATCACCCTTGGCATAAAATCCACTATCTTTACTATAACCTACAAGCCATGCTAGCCTCCTGGCAGGTTCTAGAACACACTGAGCACATTCCCCTCTCAGGGCCCTTCCACTTGCTGTCCCCGCATGCCCCATGGCTAAGGCACTCGTCCCCAACATGGTCACGTGGACTTGCTCCCTGGTTCATTCTACTCTGCTCAGATGTCATCTCCTCAGAGAGGTTGCCATGACTACTCTACCTAAAACACTACCCTCTCCTGTAACTCCTTAGCCCCCTCCTTCTTATCCGGCTTCATTTTTCTTTATAGCACTTAAACCACCAGCTGTTACATATTATATATTTGTTTATTTTCTGTCTCCCACACTAGACTAAAACCTCTACAAGGGTAAGGACTGTCACTATATCCTGGCATAACAGGCACTGAAAGAAAAATATTGAATGAATTAACTTATTCAGCAAAAACCAACTGAATGAATGAAATAAATAATAGTAGTCAGAAAATTATAGTATCACACACTGGTGCTGTGTCTTGTAATTTCAAAGGCATTTCGTAAACGTTATCCCATTTGAATTGTAGGCAAGCCTGTGTGTAAGTCAGAGCAGGCATTACTGACAAGAAAACCAAGGTAAAGAGACATCAAGTGACATTCTCAATGTCACACTTAATGGTAGAGCTAAAGGTTCCACCTACCTCTTCTAACTCAATCCAAGACACTTTCTTTCTGCTGTCTCAGAGAAGATTTCACAAAGGTAAGGAGACTCAAGACAGCCTTGAAGAACGGGTAAGGTTTAGCTATGGGGGCCGGGAGGGCGGTGTAAGGCATTCCAAAAAAAGGGAAAAAACATGAACGATGTATCCAGGGCAGGGAATGTGTGCTATACACGTACGTGGGATAAGAGTGGAGAGTGGGTGAAATTTGGAGAGCTGGATCTAGAATTAACGCCAAGGTAGGCAGGCATGGTAAACTTCTGTCTGTTCTCCCACTCCCTTTCATCCTCACACTCCTCCAGAATTTTATCATTTTAGCTTTCCACTAGTTGTTCCACATCCTATAAATCCCCAAGCAAAGACTTCCTCTCCTATTCACAGCCAAACTTCCTTAAAGAATGAACTATGCTCATCAGCTGTACTTCCCGACCCTCCCAGTTGGCTCTTTAACCCACTGCAATCCAACTTCTGCCCTATCACTCTACTAAAACTCTTCCCACCCATAACCTCCCTGCTGCCAAATCTCTTCCCAGTTTTCACTTCAGGCCTCATTTGCCACAGCTAACTTATTCCCTTATCCATGAAACCTCTCCCCACTCGGCTTCCTCCACACCACTCTCTCCTACTAACAGTTCCTTCTCTATAATTTGCAGGTACCTCTTCCTCTATCTGCCCCTTAAATATTGGTGTTCCTCAGGAATTCTATTTAGATCTTCTCTTTTGACTATATTGTCTTTCTCTGGGCAATTTTATTTGTTCCAGTGATTTCAGGCTATAAGAACAGAAGCTAGCAGTGCTTAAACACTTTTTATGCCCCAAGACAAATGAAATAGGACACATCACTTGAGTCATTAT